GAAGCCCCCACTTCAGAGCCCAAGTTAAGAGAGTTGCTCGATAAAGTAACCACAATCGGGATAAATGGCTTTTTTATCATAACGAGGATTTTTGTAAAAATCGTCGATTCTGAGTCTATCAGGTATGACAAGTCCGCAGACCACTTGAACTTCTGTGGCTCAGTGCTACAGACATTTTAGTTTCACAAGGTCTTTTGCCTTCTCTGCCCAAGAGGATGGGTGCCTGGCCAAACTGCAACTTCCAAGAATCCTTCACATTGAGTCCTGCACTCCAAACGAGGGCCAAACTGCATTACTTTTATGATGTAGACACAGTACACCTAACAGTCCAACAAGTGTTCATCACCCCTAAAAATACAAAAAACCCTCAGCAGAACGGACTTAAAACCCCCAAAAATACACCACACACACACACACTCATACACATGCACACATATCTATATGTATAAAAATGCTCTGTGCATAATGAGTTCCTTAAAAACAAAAGAACCAATGAACGAAATCACACCAAATTTGGCAACAAAACATCTCACAACACAAGGAGTGACCATCACTCAAAAAATTAGGATTTTGTCATTTGGGAATTGTAGTTGCTGGGGTTTATAGTTCACCTACAATCAAAGAACATTCTGAACTCCATCAAGGAGGGAATTGAATCAAACTTGGCACACAGAACTCCCATGACCAACAGACAACACTAGAAGGGTTTGGTGGGCATTGACCTTGAGTTTAGGAGTTGTAGTTCACCTACATCCAGAGAGCACTTGGACTCAAACAATGATGGATCTGGACCAAACTTGGCACGAATTCTCAATATGCCCAAATATGAACACAGATGGAGTTTGGGGGGAAATAGACCTTGACATTTGAGAGTTGTAGTTACTGGGATTTATAGTTCACCTACAATCAAAGAGCATTCCGAACCCCACGAACGACAGAATTGGGGCAAACTTCCCACACAGAACCCCCATGACCAGCAGAAAATACTTAAGGCCATCCAGTCCAACTCCCTTCATCAGGGCAAGAAAACGTAATCAAGGTCCTCCTGACAAAGAGCCATCCAGCCATAGAGATAGATAGATAGATAGATAGAGATAGATAGATAGATAGATAGATAGATAGATAGATAGATAGATAGAGATGATACACACACAGAGAGATATAGTATCATAGATTTGAAAGGGACCCCTAAAGAAGGACAATTATATGTTGCATGTTCCAGAGTAGGCAAACCAAACAATCTCCACATCAACACTGACAAAGCAACAATACTGTTTACCCACAAGCATAAAGATATTACATATATTAGAAACCAGCACTTTATTTTCCAGATCACCAGACTGAGCCACAGCAACGCGTGGCAGGGGACAGCTAGTACATATATAAACACAAATATGCATAAATACAAGCACACACGTATACACAATATACATATGTACTTATAAACACATAAATATATAAACACATATATACACATCTACACACACATATGCACACACATATATACACCCACACATACCCCCCACACACATATCTATCTATATCTCTATCTGTCTATCTATCTATCTATCTATCTGTCTATCTATCTATCTATCTATCTATCTATCTATCTATCTATCTATATCTATCTATCTATCTGCTTCTGTTATCTTTTAAAGTAACTATATATCTAGTAAAGGTAAAGGTTTCCCCCTGACATTAAGTCCAGTCATGTCCGACTCTGGGGTTGGTGCTCATCTCCATTTCTAAGCCAAGAGCCAGCGTTGTCCATAGACACCTCCTAGGTCATGTGGCCAACAAAACCACATATATACGCATATATATATATATATATATATATATATATATATATATATATACACACACACACACACACACACACAACACACAACACATATATACAGACTGGGCCACAGCAACACGTGGCAGGGGACGGCTAGTCTATATAAATAAAAATGTAATGTTCGTTTGTGGGATTAACAGAACTCAATAACCACTGGACGAACTGACACCAAATTTGGCAGCAAAACACATTCTAATCTGATCTATGTCTTTCAAACAAAAAACCATTAAAATGAAGGGGAAATAACTTAAAACTCCCCAAAAAGAAAATGCCTTGCAGAGCAAGCGCAAAAGCCCCTCTCCCCATTGCGCGAGAAGAATGGAGCACCAGCCGTTGTGAGGGAAGAGAAGCCTCGCCATAGAGTCCCTTTCCATGCGGGAAGGCAGAGTCCTTTTTCTTTTGGGGAGAGGAGGGATTGAGGAAAGGAAAGAGGGAAGGAAGGAGAAAGCCTGGCTCAACGGAGGGGTGGGGGCATGGCGAAGCAAGCCCCGGCAGCAGCTGGAGCCACCGCAGCAGTTCCATGAGGCCCACGTGGCTACCAGGCAACTCTTCCCCCAAGACCAGAGGATTGCAAGGCAAGCCTGGCTGCAGGAGCAGCTGCACCCCCACCCCACCCCCGGTTGGGTGAAGGAAGGATGTGAACTATGAGAAGGCCAGCAACTCTCCCACTTGGGCTCCACATCCCCCCTTTCACACACACACACACACACACACACACGGAGGAAGGAGAAAGAAAGGGAAAGGAGAGAAGAAAGGAAGAAAAGGGTTGGTGAAGAGAAGATTACACTGTTCAACGGAGAAAATGTTTCGGGCCTGAAAATAGTTGTTCTTTTATGATTTTGGGGTGCTGAAAACGAAAATGACATTTAAAAATGTATATTGGCTCTAGTTTTTATGATATAAGCAATCACGTGATCACGTATGGTTGAAAAAATGCATGTTGCGACTTACACTATGGAAGATTCTAGAATACTCTAGAAAGTTTGATGACGCAGTATTAGTGCCGTGTGCAAAAGCCAGAAAGCCCTATATAAGGCCAGACTTTTGAATGGTGAGGGTCAGTCAGTTGAAGACTGAGACAGTATCGTTAAACATCGTTTTACATTGTTCTTTTTACTGTAGTTATGCCTCGCACGTGTGTCAATAAAGCACTATGGAAAAAAGATATCAAGGCAAATGGACTCCGTCAATGCTGTCAGACTCCTGCTGGAGCATTGCAAGAGACAATCCTTTCCTTGAATACAAAAGAAAAGTCAAGAGAAGCAAACAGGATAGAAACTAAAGTCACGATTAAAGCGACATTTAAACTTTCAGACTTTTCAACTGCATTAGGCCTACTCATATAGTTTCTTGCTGCACAAACATAAACAATAGACTAATTAAATAAATATTTCTCATGTATAAACTATTGGCAATATAATTTGACTAAAATTTAGTAAATATTCACGGTTTATATACATGCAGTAAGGTTGGCGCATTATCATAATATTAACGAATTACCTATTGTGGAGAAAATTGAAATAGCTGTTGCATAAAAACCAGAGCCAATTAACACATTTAATTATCATATTTGAATTCAGCATGTTAAATTTATTAAGAAACTGCACATTTCGTTTCCGCAACTGAGAAAAACTGAAAATTTGTAGAACAGTGTTATGAATGGAAGGAAAGGTAGACGGAAAGAAAGAAGAAGGAAGGAAAAGGATGCAGGGATGGGAGAGGAAAAGAAGGGAAGAGGCAGGGAAGGAAGAAAGAAAGAAAGAAGGAAAGAAAGAAAGAAAGAAAGAAAGAAAGAAAGAAAGAAAGAAAGAAAGAGGGAAACTAGTGAAGGGAAGAGAAGGAGTTGGAAGGCACCTGGTGGGCCATCCAGGCCAACCCCATTCTGTGAAGAAGCAGGAAAATCACATTCAAAGCACTCCCAACAGATGGCCATCCAGCCTCTGTTTCAAAGAGGCTTTTTTTAGTGTTTTGGACAGCATGAATATAACTGAGAAGCCTTGCAGTTTCAGTGGCAGCTTCTCGTTACTTTCTTTTCCATGCCACCTTGCACCTTAACAGCCTGGCTTCTACTAGCCAGCAGGAAACCTTTGGTGGGAGGACTTCCCTTGGCCAGATTGCTTCATGTCTGCAAATCCTCTGTTTTGTGAGGGCCACAACAGCACGTGGCCGGGTACAGCTAGTAAATAAATAAATATATATATTTCCACTTTGGTCCTAGATGTATCTGGTTTTGCTTCTTTGCAGAGAACAGATCGCCGAAATCGCCGAAAAGCTCCAGAAGCAAGAGAGAGAGCTTCCTCTGGAGATGAGGGAAATGGAGGAGATTGTGTCCAATCTCTCCGATGGCTTCAAGGAGAAGATTCCTATGGATTTGCATGCATGGAAGAGACGCCATTATAAGGAAAGTGAAGGCATCATGGATGCTCTTGCAGTGTACGTCGACCCAGTGGCCTCCAAGGCGGTTTGGTGCATGGAGTGGCTGGAGCAAAACATTGGGCCCGTAGTGATCAAAATGTACGAGCCGTACGAGGAATCTGTGGATCAAGCGATAGAGTCCCTGGGAAGCACACTGACTGAGAAGCTGCAAACAATTATGGAAAGCCTCCAAACCTCATTAGACAGAGGAGCCAAGCAGATCCAGCTGGGGTTGGAGACCCTCAACAAGCACTTGAAGCCCTACTGGATCCCATTCCTAAAGGAGTACAAGAAGTACGACCCAGCACTCAGAGAGTGGATGGAAAGTCCGTTGTTCCCCCCTCCGAAAAAAGACTGACCCTAAAAGAGAACTCCTAGGGAAGTGACCACTAGGTCAAGAGGTATGGCTGCTTCCCCATCACGGAATACATTTCCCCATTTATTTGGGAGGCTTGAATAGCTGGCAAACTTTATGGAATGAGCTGCGCTTTTCTGTTTGAGTTATGTCAGTTCTTTCTGGCAATTACATGTTCTGTCAATCACCTGACCAAATGAATAAAACTTCTGTTACTCCCTTCAAATCCAGTGTCATGTATCATGTTCTGCAGTTGGTGGTGGTTGGTGGTGGTAGGCCTAGCAGTTGGTGATGGAAGGCTTAATGTAAGTCTTAGTTCTAAAGGGTTGAGTAATCTGCAAGTAAGAGTTCATGGGTGAAAGCAATTAAGGGTGGGGGTATGCAAGAGATAGGCTGCAGCTGGCTGTTTCTGGATAGAAGGAGCTAGCCTTGGGACTGATCCTTGGGAGAAGATGTTGTGGCTCAGCTGGAGCCTCAGAAAGAAGAAGATGATGGGTTTCAGATTCCTGAACATGTTCCTGTTGTTGATACAGTAAAGGTGGTGGTTAATGCCTCCCTCCGGGATGGCAATATTCCAGCGAGCTTAAAACAAGCTATAATAAAACCGCTGTTGAAAAAACCATCACTGGACCCCACTTAATTCGTCAACTATCGGCCAGTATCCAATCTCCCCTTTTTGAGCAAAGTCTTGGAACGTGTCGTGGCCTCACAACTCCAGGTATTCTTGGTAGACACGGATTATCTGGATTCGGCACAGTCTGGCTTTAGGCTGGGACATGGAACTGAAACAGTCTTGGTCGCCTTAGTCGATGATCTTCGCCGGGAGCTAGACAAGGGGAGTGTGTCCCTGTTGGTTCTGCTGGACCTCTCAGCGGCCTTCGATACCGTCGACCACGGTATCCTTATGGGACGCCTCGCGGGAATGGGCCTGGGAGGGACTGTTTTACAGTGGCTCCGGTCCTTCCTAGAGGGTCGATCTCAGAAGGTGTTATTGGGAGATACCTGCTCAACTCCACAACCTTTGTCTTGTGGAGTTCCTCGGGGCTCTATACTATCTCCCATGTTGTTTAACGTCTATATGAAGCCGCTGGGAGAGATCATCCGGAGTTTCGGGGTACGATGTCACCTGTACGCAGATGACGTCCAACTCTGTCACTCCT